TCTCGTTCTTTCTGAAGCGCTGAGGGCAGCCATGTGTCTGGTCAGAGTAACGGTCGGGACCCCCAGGCGCTGGCCAAAGCTGTTCAGATCCACCACGACACCCTGAGGACCATGTACTTCGCCTGAGCTACACAAACTCTCCCCAACCATTGCCACTCTTAACACACACACACACAACCATGCACACCTGGCATGCCAGTCAAGGAATCCTCATAGGTGCAAGTCCCAGCCCCCCCCCAACATGCCTAATCAAAAACGGACCTGACACTGTGCAGAGGAAAGCAGGGAGGAGGGAGGGGAAGAGGCACCCCCACACTGGACTGAGGATGCAAAAGCTGCTTTAAAAAACAAACAAACAAGAGAGAATCTCAGCACTATTATGCAATATTAAACCAGCCAACTAGTTTATTTTCACCCTTATTAGGCACCCTCTCCCCTCCGGTTTTCACTACCCCTCCTATGTGTTCGTCCCCTGTTTTGTCTCCTTTACTTGTGGCCTAGTTTGTGGCTGTTCTTTTCCTTTTCTTTGGCATAGTCTTTGATAAATCTGCTTCTTTGCCTTCTTCAGTACCTCAAGTCAGTTTGAGCAGCAGCACTTTTACATTCTGTCAGTTTTTGTGTAATTTGTTTTTGATTTTTCTCCTATTTCTTTTTCTTAAGTTTAGGGGCAGAGAGAGAGAAAAAAAAGGACTCAGACTCTGGAGTTAGTAAGAGGTGTCTGATGTAGTTTGAAGCATCAATTCATTGACCAGAGGTCCTCCCAGTTTGATCTTTTATTTTTCCTCTCGTTTCCTTTCTTGTTCTGTCACTTTTCATTAGTGTGTGGGCACGATACCACCAGTTGCTTGTACAGAGCTACATGTTCTTTTGAGCACACTGCCACTTATTGGCAAAGACGGATATTGCCCCTTAAGTCACAAAGAGGAGCAGTTTCGGTGGTCTCAGATCAGTTTCGGATTTATTCCTGAAGGTTAGCTGTCACATTTAAACGGAGGGCAGTTTATATTATATATCAATTTGCTGAGTTGCAGCCATCCATGGATTGTATTTAAAGTATTATTGACACTGTTATTTGAGTCTGGTTGCTATATTTCTTCTACATTATGTGAAACATTTTAAGAATCTGATTCTTAAAGAAAAAAGAAGATTTAATCGTGTTAGCTTTTGTTTTTAAATCGCCCTGCATTCATTTCTCTCAGTGCTTTATCTTGCCTTTCCCCCCTTGTATCTAAGACGGTGGCTAAATACAGACGATGTCGATGGTTTCCTCTTGTGCAATAATCAGTCGAACGAAGGGAAGAGGATTTTTAGGGGACTTAAGCGACTCAAAAGTACAGTTTTCACATTTCATATGAAAGCGAGTGTCCTTGAAAGGAGAGAAGTTTGCCACTTGCAAGGCACTTTCATGTGTCGCTCCTCCGTGAGCAGAATGACCTGCATGTTGTATGAGTTTGCTCTCGCTGTTGGGCAAAAAGAAAGGAGAAAAAAAAATATGGTGCAACTGCAGTTTTGGTGATTTTTCGTGTTTTTACTTGAACTGAAGGACTTTGTGCGTCTCCGTGGTTTGAGGATACTTTCGGATCAGTGGGCATGATTTTAGAATTCCTGATCGTCAGCTTGCTAATGAGATTGATTTTTCTTAATTCCTAAGAATTACAAAGCTTTTCACTTGACAGCAGCAAAGTGGAGTATAAAGGCCATAAAGAGGTAGTATTCAAGTGCCTGTTGGAAGTTAAGTGTGTAATCGTCAGAAGCTGTATGAGTTGTTTCAGTGGGGTACAATGATCAAAGAGCGTACACCAACCAGACAGCGTGAAGCAAGAAAGTTTCACCCGATGCCTCTTATTCTTCTCAATAACCGTCTACTGACTTTTCTATACATCTCATTCGAATTAACCTAAGATCAATATATTTATTGTATTTGCCTGTACAGCAGTGTTAGCTGTTGGCTTTGCTTTGGAGCAGCATTCAAGCAAAGTAGGCCAAGTTGTCTTTTTGCCTAATATTCACCAGACATGGATCCAGCTGCTACAGTGTGTTCGTAGGCGATTGGGCCGGCTTCGTGGGCACAGAGTTGGCCTTCTCCCAAACTGTTTTTCTTTTTCTTTTAGATCGATTAGAACCCTAAATCTGAGTTTGGGTTTAATTCCTGCCCACGCGACCGGCCCAAAGTTGGGACCGGCTTCAGAACAAAGCCGAGGAGTCAAGTGGACGACCGTTAGTGTGAAGCGTGCGTCTGGGTAACGGGTCACCACGTAGCTCCTCTAATGCTGATGACCTGAAGTTTGCTCGGGACGTGTTTTTAAAAGTTATCTGCACTAAAAGAAGCATGTGTTTCAGGAGTGAACACAGGCGCGGTGCTACTCTGAATTAGAATTTGAAGCTGAACCTCAATGCGAGACTTTAAACGAGCAGGCGGGATATGTAGGCGAGGGGAAAAAAAACTGTAAACCTCACTCACTGAAGGACGAGAAGGCTCCACTGCTGCGGTTGTTGAGGGGGGTTATAGATTTATGGTTTTATTCGGGATAGATCTACTCGGAGAACTTGTAAGCGGTACAACGGCAGACGTGTGGTCCTGCCTCTGCTGTTGCATTCGACTGCCTTTCACAGGCTAGCCTTTCAGTGTGGAAGCCAGTGGGTTCGAGCCTTCACGATTTCACTAGTATCTGAAAGCCTTTTTAAAAAGCCAGATCGAAAGTATATTTGTAGATTTTAAATTATGTAATGCACACCACTTATTTTTGCTAACAGAAAAAAAAATGTAGTCTAATTATTAATCTTAGTAATAAATGTATCATGACAAGTAATGGTTTAAAAAAAAAAAAAGTATAACAAAGTTTTATTATCGCAATAGACTGTTGACTTGTTCTTGTGTCACTGTATAACGTATAGTGTATGTGTGAACAGTGCTGGGGTTGTTGAAACTAGTTATGTGTGTTTGGACTGTCATACTGTTATTGATAGGGATGTGGACTCTAACCGCCTCTTGCTTTGATGTTTGGAAAAAAAAAAACTTGCAAGATGTTGAATGCTTCTTTTTTTTCTTCTTCTTTTGTAGATGATCAAACAAAGTTTTTCATAGAGAGGACAAAGTGTTAACATGCTATATCCCAAATGCCTTTCTTATCGCAGTTTTTCACAATTGCTAAGACTCTTTTCTTAAAAGGATCCCCTGTTTTCTCATACTGTGACTGAACAACATTCACAAAACCTCTGACTCTTCTGGAAGTATCAAACAATAGCCTCAAACTGTAGACCAAACAATGTTTGTAGATCATAGACTGAGTCAAACAATGCTGAGCATTCATTACGCTACATCCAAAAATCCAGCGTTCTGGCTGTGTAGCTCCAGGAAAAAATGCCAATAAATGCATATATAAAAAGCATAACTCTAATAGAGTTTAAATACTACCCACTGTAAGTACAAGCAGTACAGGATTACACAGTGTCTGTGGGTCTGTGGATAAAGTAGGTCAAAAGGCTAAGAAACAAGCACATAACAGTATAGCGTAAGTGTAACTGAAAGTGAACATGTGATCTGTTCAGCTGTGTCACGCCAGAGTGAAAAAGAGCAACTCAACCCGTTGCATGTGTATTTCTGGGAGTTCCTTTTTTCAAGACGCAAAACACTGGGAGGAGAAATCTTAGTGCGCTGATATTTAACGCAGAAAAAACGGGTCACCTGCTTAACCAGGTGAGCTATGCTGGTGCCAGATCCTGCTTATTTAAAGCTGAAACTCCAAATTGACGTCTAACACGGTGAAACGTGTTTAAGGTTTAAGAGCGTTCGAGTGACTAAACGGGTGCAAAACATGGACCGTTTGGTTCAGAGAACGGGATTTAATGTCTTAGCAATTCAGAAAAGCTGTGAGAAATTACAAACCTATTGTAACAACAAACAGTAGACTAGGAGGGGGAAGAAAAAAAAAAAAGGCGATTGATATGTTGAGCTCCTGCTCTTGAATTTTCTCGGGTTTCTTTTAACTGATGCTGACGCCTGCTCCTTATCGAGAGGAGAGTAAAAGGAATGGGCATGTGCTGTTTTTCTTTTTAAAGTCTTGGTGATCCATTTCAAAGACACGTGTGATCAAAGAATAGAGAAACAAGGTTTAGTAGTTCTCCATTCCTTTGTGTTAGAACCCTGGGGGGAGGATTTACATTGGATTACAACCACCATTGCTTTCCTCAGACTGGTTTCCTTATTTGAGCCACTTCACGTGCACGCAGATACAAAGACGTAAGTCTGCGACGTGGCAAAGCCTGTTATCTTATTTTAGCGCTCTTTCTTTTTTTGTTCCAAACATTTACTCCCCTCGGTCTACATTCCACGGCCGTACAATCTCATCCAATCCCCCAGCAAGGTGTGAGGAAGGTTAAAGCTGAAGGACAATACTGAGGGATATAGTGTGTGTGGGTGTGTGTGTGTGTTGGAAGGAATCAAAGCTCATCAGTGAGAACTTGGTGTGGCAGGTTATATGGAAGTTGGACGTGTGTGTGTGTGTGTGTGTGTGTTTGGTGGGCTGATTGACTCACTATATCTCTGCTGTCTGTAATAGATGTTCAGGTGGTGTATAAACGACACCCTCGAGGGCAGTTGAACACATGTTTACATAGCAAATGTGTTTGCCTCGCTTACATTTGAAATGTCATCAGCTCGGCTTTGCAAATATTAGCTAGCAGAGAAATGACCTAACATGAGCGAGACCTTTTAGGGGCCTGTGGAAGCGAATGCTTAATGGGATACAAAGATGTTATTCATGCAGCCGATTTTTCTTCAACACACAGCCGTGCTACACAAACGTGGGAAGGTTTCGTTTGTCCTTCCAGTTCTGCTAGAAACGACTCGTTATATTTGACTTTAAACTAAAGGTACACTAATCTCACGACTGTGTCCTTTTAGCTCCCACTTAGGGTCGCTACGACGACTGTTTACGAGAGCCGTGAATTGGCGTCTTTAGCTGCCTGGTGAAGAAAATGTAACAAATTAACTTTTAAAAGGCCGGTGCCTCAATTTTTAACCGAAGTGAAGGTGTATTCTGTCTCGAGGCGTCAATCAGTATTCCTCATTTTGGTTGCTCTATATTTGCAGTGGAAGGTAGCGAGAAAAAGTCCACAGAAAGTGCCTTTCCTCTTGATGGTGCTGTAAATTGAAAGATGAAATGTAAAAATCAAAGACGTAGAATCTCCTTTTGAAACACACATTGCAATGCAGGAGTTGCTGCATTTCTCTCTCTCTCACACACACACATGCTCACAGTAAATGGTTTTTGTTTTTTGTTTTTTGAGATGGCAATGCAGAGTTGTTTTTCATGTATTTAAAGATTAAGCCTACATAGTAAAAGACATTATGCCAAGTAAATGGTTGTGGTTGAGCTCTTGCTTTCTAGTGCATTTTTAGTGTCTTGGACCAATGGTGTTGTTGGTACAGTGGAATGTGTGTTTGGGTGGGTTGGCGGAGCGAGGTGGTTGGGAGTCATAGCTGACACTAGCGGGGTGTGACACAGCCCAGCCCACGAATGGCAAACATAGCACAGCACTTTAGAGACTGCCACAGTCTCTGTCCCTCCAGTCCCCTTCTTCCTCCCGCCCAGGAGGAGGAGAGGATCCAGACCTCAGCGTAAACGAGGAGACGACGAAGGGATACGCGTTACCAAACGAGGCAGTCGGCCATTAAAAGTGTGCCTCGTGCTCTTGTGACTTTATTGGCTCGGTAGAGTCTGCCTGCTCTCGGGTGGCGTGTTCTCGTCAGGACTGCCACTTTTGACACTTTGTTACAGCTAGGGCTGGGTGTCACAAACGTCACTCATCAGTACCTCCTGGTTTTTTGGAATCGGAGTTTCGAAGCAGGCTAGAACTTTCTTTTTCTTTTTCTTTTGCACTGAGGGAAAGCAACATGCGTGAGGAGGCAGAAAGGTGTCTTATTTTTTTTAAACATGTGGTTCAGAAATGAAATGAACAGAGCCAGTGTCAGTATTGAGACTTGTCTCAAGATGCCCAGCCCTAGTAGCAGCCCCATGGCGTTCTTTCATCTTAGAGCAATGCCCTGCCATGTGTCTTGTCCCTGTCGGAGGGAATGAGTGCCCAGCAGTATCCTCGTCTTGAGCCGGTAGGGATTCGACTGAAAAACCGAGTATGGTCTGTAGTTCTGTGGGTACCTTTTCAGTCCAGGGGGTGAAATCTTTCTATTACAAGAAATCTCAAAAAACACTGCACCTCACTTACCTTGGTATGCTGCATATGTTATACTACATGAAAGAAAACTGCAAATTGCTTTTATGATATATAATGCTTGAGTAATGCCTGATTGCGATATTCTTATACGGTAACTATTTTAGATTCGAAATAAGTAGAACTGTAAAAGATATTCTTGTTTTGTCTTAACACTTATCCAATTTTGAAATATTGTTCTTGAGCCGACTTTTATTTTGTTGTCCTATTTAAATGTGTTGTTCTTTAAATATATATATGAAATATATATATGCGGAATATTTTATGGTGTATTTATTGAGTCCGTTAGAGCGGCTGGAGTGTCCGCATCAATCTTGCAGCGTGGCGGGGGCGGAGCCAGGAGGGAGAAGCCTTGAGCCCCTCCCCTTCCATGTTGACGCCTTATTCTCCTAGACACGCAAGCACAACAATATGGAGGGGGGGTGCGGGGTGGAGGAAAGGGCGGCGGCGGCGGATTTCGACTTGTTCCAGGTCGACTTCCTCCTCCTCCCCTTTTCCAAATATTCTTAACCCTCCCATCTTCTTTTACCACCCGTGAAGGCCAGACGCCAGCCCCCTACGTGTCGCAGCTCATCTCTGACGAAGGGAACCATTTCTGAACCACACTGACTTGTGTCGAATAGCTGACTTTTCATCCCAAGCTGCTAAATTGGTACGTTAGCCATGTAAATTCCCTGAGCCAGTACAGAGCAAGTAGTAGAGTGTAAAATAAGTTTAAAAAAAATGCGGGGGGGGAAAGAAGGAAGGGTGTTGGAAAGGCAAAATTCATTGAATTACAGTGAAATGTTTTAGCAAAGGCGTTGCTTCTTTCCTCTTTAAATGTCTCCTGTTTTGTTTTGTTTTGTTTTTCCTTGTGCCAGAATATTTTACAGCAGGACCAGGTCTCATTCCACAGGAAAACACATGCCTCAGCCTTAAGTGCGTCCTTACGTAATAGAAATCTGTGTGACTTTTGCAATGCCTGTGCTGTGTCGGGTGGCCTACCAAGAAAACTAGCCTACGTACTTGATCTGCCCTGATATCTCCAACTGGCATACTCATCTGTTCTCGCATGTAAACCACTAACATTGCTACACAACGTAGAGCGCTCTGATGAATGAACACTGCTCTGTTTAATATGTACTGATGTCAGAACGGGAGCCAGGTCTGGGTCAAACTGCCTTTGGAAACCCTTTTCAGTATTTGGTGTTACCTGTTGAGCGGTGCCTACAGCCCGAGGGCAGTTTGGATATGTACGTATGCTCATTAGATTTTATGCACTTGCCTGTATTTTGTAAGCTCGTTGCTCGGTTGACACAGTCATTGTCGCTGATTGCAAATCCAAAGAAGGATCCAAAGAACAGTTTGACGCAGGCCTTACACGAGAACCAGGCGGTTTCCCCACTGTGCCGGATTACAGAGACCTGTGCCTGTACAATGAACCAAGGATGAATTGTGTTGTGATGATTTTTTTTTTTCTTTTTTTCTTTTAATTATCTGTTGGTTGTCCCTCACCTCATCGGAGGATCAGAGACATTGACCTTTTGAGTGTTGTCAATCTTCCAAAGCAAGAAAAGCCCTCTGTCCTTTTAAACCGAATGGCTTTTGGTTTATTCAATGTTTACCGTAATGTTTACTCCCATGGCTATCTGATGTTGAACCTGTTTTCATTACATTAGCATTCCAAAATGACTTCAAACCAAAAACCGCTGAAGAGATTAGGCTCCTGACGCCGTTTACCTTGTATACACTTAATGGTTTTGAAGACAGATTATTCGAGAGTGGCCAAGGATATCAAACATTTTGGGTACTCTGATTGTTCCGATGCATCGTCACTCTTGTGTCAGTCTTATTTCAAACTAAAGATCTTGAGCTCTGATACCTCTGAGTGAGGCACCAGCAAACTGACGTGTACGTTGAACCTTCACCACCAGATCATCCATGTCTCAGCCTCTGTATTTTTTGCAAAAGGCTGTGTTGTACCAACGGCTGTATTCCTTTCAGTTTTAATTGTCTTTCTTTTGTTACTCTTTCTCTCTTATAGGTTGTTGGCCTTTTTAGTGTTGCTTTGCTTCAGTTTGAAGTGTATCTTTGACTAATACTTGCAATAAAAATGCTTTGCTTTATCTTGGTCGTCTCACTGGGAAACTTTTTAAAAAAATGTGTAATAAGTGGAATTGCAGAAAATGCTGTGGGTAATAAAAATTACATATTGCCACCATGTGCTTAAGAAAACACCGGGCTGCTGTCGACATGTGTAGGTCCCTCACAGCCTACACATTATATATTGTTTTATATTTTATAGAGAAGGATGAATATAATCTCCCTCTGCTGCAGGCAAGTTTGCTTGGGACCAGCTCATATTTTATTTCACTGGTTGAACCTGCTCTGCAGCAGCTGTACCACACCTCTCCCTCTGGGAGAGCTTTGAGGCCAATATGAGAGTGCAAATTTTTTTGCCATTCAAAAATGTGAAACTCTGAGGGGGGATCAGCATTTTTCCTCCTCTCAGCATATGGGTTACAAAATTTTCATGACCATCTGAGGGAATAAGATGGTGGAGTGACTGAAAAATTCATAGATCTTTGCTTCTAGTTTGACCAAAGTAGAATATATGTAACAATACGAACACACCACCACCTTTTTTTCCCACTGCTCCCTTTAGTGGTCGCTACAGCAGCTCATCTGCCTCCATCTCCCCGTGCCCCTTACAGCCTCCTGTCACACCAGTCCTTCACTACATCCATGAATCTTCTCTGTAGTCTTCCTCGTTTCCTCCTGATCTGCAGCACCATCTTCGAAATCCTTTGTCTGATACAGTCACTATCCCTCCTCTGCACATGTTCAGACCATCTCAATCTTGCCTCTCCAACTTTGTCAACGGAGCTGTTTTATTCATTTCTAATCTTTTCTATTCTGGTCACTATGATTGAAATTCATAGCACCCCCAACTCTGCCACTCCAGTTCGCTTTTCTTCTCTGTCAGTGCCACAGTCTCCAGACCAAAATAACTTGTTTTCATTGAATTTTTAAATTAAAATATGTTAACTTTTTAAATGTGTCGACAAAAGCCAAATTATTTGCCTTTTCTCATAAATTTTCAGTATTTTAGCAGAAGGTCAGCAGTCAGGGTTTTGTATTTAATACCAAATGAACCATCTGCCCTCGAATGAAAAACTACACACTGGTAAACAATGACAGGAATTTCAACACAAAATGAAAATAATCTCTACATCTCTGCAAAAGCACCAGCGTTCCTACTGGGTATATAAAGATAATTTCACTTTCACTGCATAGCAAAAGTTATAAACTTTGCTCTGAAATGCTGTTCCCACTAACAGGCTGAGAATTTCACGAGAATAAAAGTGAGTGCCTGAAAAACACTGTAAACAGGAAAGATTATTGACAAGCCTTCCTGATGCCTCTGCGCAGCCATGGTAACGTAGCTGCTATCACTTACTCTCTCTGATATCTGTTGACGGGAGCGAGCTAAACATCTGATTGTGTGCTTCCCCTGACACAAATTATGTCTTTAAAGTTAATGTTGGTACATGACGTTTGATCTCACGTAATTCCCAACAGGGCAGCCCTGCCTGAGCAGAGGTATAATTAACCACAGTGACTGAAAACACCTGTGTGGGAATTAAAGCAGCACCCTGCAAACTCACTGGAATGCATTCCATCATGCAGATGGTTTATTTTGTTTTATTTGATATATTAATGCATGCATTTATGGCACCAGCCTTGGAACTTCAGTAATCTGCACATGCAACCCTTTTTGCATTCACTGAGATTTTCCTTGTTAGCTGTAAATGATGAGCTTGTTGGTTTAATACTTTTGTGGGGGGGAAAAAAGGAAATCCCAATCAAGTTTTTACTTTTTTTTTTTTTTCATTTTACTTTGTTCTGTTGTCAAAAATGCACAGTCTGCATTAATTTAGAGCAGGGGTCCCCAATCTCAGTCCACGAGGGCCGGTGTCCCTGCAGGTTTTAGATCTCACCCTGGGTCAACACACCTGAATCACATGATTAGCTCATTACCAAGTCTCTGGAGAACCTTAAGACATGTTGAGAAGGTAATTTATCCATTTAAATCAGCTGTGATGGGTCAAGGACGCGTCTAAAACCTGCAGGGACACCGGCCCTCGTGGACTGAGATTGGGGACCCCTGATTTAGAGCAACACTGAGCTCTTGTAACATTAACTATGATTTTTTTTTTTACTGCACATTTTCCTTTATGACAGCAAGAATTTCATTTATTGGTTTATTTATTTGATTGGTATTTGAGAAGTTGTCATTTATACCCATCGTAAACTACATAACAAATTTATTATCATATTTTTTGTTTCTTCACATTTAAAACAATAAAAAAAAATTGTTGGAAGAAACTAGGGAAGCGTTAAGCCACAGCAGCCTGATGACAGAACAACAATAAAACAGAAAATGATCATCTCTGAGCCGCAACATCATTAAAAACATGGCGAGATGGATTCTCTGCAAGAAATCAGGCGCTCTGCAGGGTGGGACTAAACACTTATTATGCTCACATCCTAACTGTCAGTCCCTGTGCGCCCAACTATATCAAATCGACAAAATTATGGTGTTAATTTCCGTATATCATTTAAATAAGGCAGAGCCGCCGTTTAGTCAAACAGACGCCCCTCTGCGGGCCTAAATGCAGCTGTCACACTTTCTCTCCGCCTGAGAGAAAACACATTCATCTCTCATGATGTTACAGCAGGACTGTGACAAAACCAACTGTTAAAGGCTTAATTGACACTAAATGCCAACCAAAAAAATCCTGCTGTATTTTTTTTTAGTCAATCGGTGATCCCCGTGTTCCGTATCAGGCATCTGACATATTAAATTTAGGGTTAAACTTAACCTGAGTGTTAAAAAATGGTCACAACAGTTTGATTCCTGACCACATGAAAGCAGCAGAACAAGCCAAAAATTGACAAAAAAAAGGCAGATAAAGGATATTGTGAACAAATTTGCCAATAATTACAATGCATCATCATTTGAGTTATGGATCTGGCTACCTTAGCTTCCTTAATTTACCTTTATGTGACAGTGGATTGTAACTTCGATCCACAGAATGCTTCACAGACTTGAACTTTTGCAAGTCCAGCAAAAAATATGGTAAAAAAAATAAAAAGGAGAAGAAGAAGAGAGGATCAGAATGACAAACCTGACATCCATGAGATAATGGAAACATCTCGGAGGATGTTGAATAAGTTACAGTCGGGATAAACTGATTTGTGGAGATTTATGGAGGGGATGGAATTTCTCCTCTGACTGAGTTAGTGTAGCACTGAACTCCTTATGCGCCACGATTTTTCACCAGCCTCTTGCTGACTTTGTAATTTCTCATAAATGATGGGCAGGTAGTGGAATTTTACAGCTATCTCTGAGAACAACATACTGTAAACCTGATAGCAGTGTATGAATTTTGTACGTGTGTTAGACATCTTATAGTGCAGTCACTTTTTCTTCCAACAATCCAGAAACTGCAGATTTAGCAATCTAGATTTAGCAGTTTCACTAAACGGCAGTCGTGCTCTTTATCAAGTGAAATACTGATTGATTTTGCACTAGAAACAGCTCCTGACAAGCTTACTTTTGCAGGTTCTTTGATAGAGTTTGTCCATTTTAACCTAAAAATAGGATAACTGAGGCACTGTCACCCAAAAAGCTATTTTGGATGACCAAAAACAGTATTTTAGACTCTTACAGGTTATAATTCTTACATTTTTGACTGTCCAGAGCCAACTCCTGATGCGCCAGCAATTTAGCACTTGATTAGAAAGTGAGAACTATCAAATAAGCTCCATAACAGATTCTAATGAAAAGAAATACCAACTGAAATCAGATGTCAGTTTTGATAAAGCCCTTGATATAAATTAGTTTACAGAGAAATTAAATGCAGAAACAGTCTGACTGAACCACCCTGGAGCTGCACTGATGCTCACTGAATAACTGAATAAGATTTACACTCTTCTTTTACAATATATCGCTTTCATCTTTCTTATCATTAACGATTGTTTTGACGAAAAACTTTGGAATAAATCTTTTTTTTTGTTGTTGCCCTTTGCTGGCATTTTGCTTGTCTGATATTCTTGTTTTTCTAGTTTGCGTCTTTCTGTCTTCACACCAGGTTTCCTTAATCACCTATCAGTGATTAGATGCTGTTCGTAACACCTTGACCCAGCAGCTAAAAAACAAAGAAAAATAAGGTTTTGTTAGAAGTGTATTGTTTTCTTTTTAAAAGAAGCAAGCCTGCTGATGTGTTTGCTTGGTAAAAAATGATGTAGAACATGGTCTGCCACAAAGGGCACAGAAAAGAAAAAATGGGCAGTGTATACAAAACATCTCCAGTGTGATGTTTTGTCTAAAAACAGTGAAATGAATTGTGGCCTAACACTTAAATGTAACACAAATGTTTTTGCCTGAGGAATGAGTGTCACTAACATTTCTTTTCTTTCATTTAAAACACACATTGTTGGTCTTCTTCAGGGCAGCGACTGTATGAGGAAATACGATCCAATACCTCGAGGATCCAGTCTCAATTGCAGACGGGACTTTACTAATCATGTCTGTCCATCTTCTTGTTTTGCATTCATCACCAGCTTGAATAGAATCTACCCTGCAGTTCCACCTCTCACCAGGAGTGGGAACAGTTCACCAAGAAAAATTCTGGTTGGCTGAGAAACAGATGGAGAGATGTGTTCACCGCCAGGGCTCATGCAGAGTGGACAAAAGGATGTGAAGGTGGTGTCTGTATTTGTTCGAGGTCAAACACTTGAAGGAAACCGGGGCGAGGGCCGAACCAGAAACAAAAAAGAATACACAAGGATGTGCAGACATGTGGCTAAGACCCATATTTACCATGATTTGTAAAGTTCTTCCTCTTTCTTTTTTTTAAAAAAAATATCACATCATGTTGTCATCTATTTTTCAGCGCTGTATTTTGAGTGTTCATTTTACCTCTAACCTCCCTCAGTGCTTCTGTTCGGAGTGTGTACGATGTGCAGGGGAAAACCATTTGACTCCCAGGCCACACACCAATATCTCCTGCCTCACAAATGACAAACGACCTGGTAGCGCAGGGAATTATCAGAAGTC